ATCAAAATCCAATGAGTGGTTCTTTAGATATCAGTGGAACAGTCATAGAACAGCTAAAAATTAGCTAATTATCATGCAAATTAGGTAATTAACGAGCATGGATTTTTACCAAAACCTAATCAAATCTGCGCATTGGCCCAGAGCATCTATGCACCAAGTTTCATCAAATACCGATGTATGGTTCTTGAGATAGCAGTGGAACAGTCGGACACACATACACACATACACACACACACACACACACACACACACACACACACACACATACAGACACACTAACTGCAAAGACTCCCATTTTGTGCTTCGCACATGGGAGTCAAAAAAACACAACCTTGCATTTGTTTACACACTTTACACACATATGTTGTAACCAATTGGTGAGAACCACTGAAGTGTTTGCACCCAAAGATAAAATAATACTGCCATTCGCTGCTGCTATTAAATATACACATATGTGTTCCTGTTAATAAAACAACTTCTGGGCAATGTTGTTTAGAAGATATAAAAGATAGCTAGATTAGTAACTGATATTTTTCATCAGACATTCGCAAGCTGGTTGGCAAAAATGTAAACAAATTATGTCACAGTACAAGGGAGGGCCTATAGCAATAACAAACTTTTTTCCGCAAATGGAATTACAGTTTGTTTGGTAGTTTTTTGTGGTAATGACATTAACCATGATTTTTACAGTTAACCTACCTAGAATCTGCATATCCTACATTATCAACATAAAGTCTGACATCATATACACCAGGTGATTGGGCTGGTAATATGCACTCTATTGTGTTATCAGAATAGGATATTAGCTGACATGGAACATCACCAATCTTCAGAGCATCACTACTTGCCTCATCTGTACCAAATCCTGTACCACTCACAACCAATGTTGCACCACCTTAGAAATACAGTATCGTAAATGTTAACCCTCCTCCTCCTCTTCATTACCCTCCACATTGCTATATTCATCTCCGACTATACCTTGTATTTCTTTTCATCTTTTCTATGTCTTCTCCCCTCACATCCCTTTCCCTCCCTCACCTCGCTTCCACCTACACAGTAGTCACTCATTTGGGTGCTCATTTTTTGCAGACAATCAAAGGCAAGATTTGAACTAGGGATGATTCTGATAATAGTTGGTCAAACATTATGCTACAGTATTTGATTGAATACAGCAAAAGATAGCTTTTTAAAGACTGAAAAATTATCTTCTTTTGTCAAAACTATTAAAAATAGGGTCTAAACATAACTTCCAAAAAAAGGGTTTTATTTTTCAACAAATGAGATTTAGTTGCTAATATTGATGCGACACTCACCTGCAACATTACTCTGGGTGACACTCAACTGTGTGATAGATGGAGTGGGACTGGCATCGTATTGAAAACCATTCACACTGGTAGCTGATACATCACTAATACTGACACTCACATCCACACTGCCTGCAACCTAATATACAAGAATGTTTGAGATTAATCAATATAATTGAAGTAAGGTCTTATATTATCAATTTTATTGAATTAGTTACCTGGTATATTGTTTTATTTTTGTATAGTTTTGGCTTTTTTTTATGACAGCTAGATTTTTTGTCTGAATGTGAAAGCCCGGGAAGATCACCAAATGAGATCTGACATAACCAAAAATAATGAAGTAAAAAGAAAAAACCCAAAATTTGATTAACCGACTACAAACTGGGATGAATCTTGAATTCCAACAACTATGTCTTATAAAGGGATATCAATAAATGTGAAACTTACCCCAGCTGGTAATATACATATTATGGTATTTTGACTTGATGATGTCACATCACAGAGTGCGCCACCAATGAGTACTATTAAATCATCAACATTATTTGAATATCCATAACCTGTAATTGTAATCTCCAAGCCTCCTGAAAAACAATCATTGACAAACAATTATGAATTATAAAGTAACACTAAATATTTGCACCAAACAAGCCAATACAAAGGGCACATTAAAAGTCTGAAATACCAACACATAAGTCAATAATTCGTATTAAATATCAGTGACTTGACAATGGAAAATCATCATTTCAATGCTAAAACAGCAATTGTAAAAATAAATACCAAAACAGCAGCCAATTTGAGAAAGACTGCATTGAACTTTATAAAGAATTTAATTTGAAATATAACCCAGTTACCAATTACAGATTTCTCAGCAAATTTCTGTAATCAACATGACAAATTACAGAGCTTTTAGAGTCAACAGTTTGGTTCATTACTATTCGTCCAGTAATGGAGACAGAAATAAAGGCTTACTGCCAGTATTGCCACTAGATGGTTTGACATCAGTAATTCCCATTCAATACTTAGAATTGCACAGTGCAGCTAGGGTGTGTGGCTAAACCATCTGGTGCAATATACACCACTAAATTCCTTCTTAATCTAGTGTAAACATAGTTAAAACTTACCCCCAGTATTGCCACTAGATGGATTGACATCAGTAATTCCCACTTCATACTGGAATTGCACAGTGCCACTAGGGTGTGTGGCTAAACCATCTGGTGCAACATACACTACTACATCTTGAGTACCGCCAGGAGCTTCACCAATCAGGCACATTATCATTGTGTCTAAAGCATTTGTAACAACACAGTTCACACCACCAATGGTGACTTTATTGTCATCTGTGGTTCCACTGAATCCAACTCCTAGGACAGTCACTTCAGTTGATGATGAGGCTGAACCTTTTAATAAAAAAAATCACAGCAATTTGAATTTTCGCGATGTTATTACTCAAACATGTACAATTGGCCACATCATCAAAACTAATCAAAGCATGAGTTGTACAACACCTCAATACAACAACAATAATAAATAAAATTACAATTATCACAAGAATGAAGCTCACATCCCGTATATGCTCTATCAGAAACAGATCTCTAATAGAAGCTCACATAAGCCAACAAGTTTGCATCTATTGTATGCTGGATCATTAAAATATGACTTGTTTTGACCATAGACACACCTCTGTCAATTACATAAGGACATGTGCTATTACAGCAAATATGGTATACTCAATCTTATCAAAATGACAGCATAAGGGCACTATATCTAAGATAGGGGGCGCTGTTTAAAAACCCTGCTGATAACAATACTGTAATAGTTGTTCATCTATGATGTCTAATTGGCAAACAAAGTTTATAAAATACCTGAAACTGGAGATATACCGGTCACTTGCGGTGCAAGGTCAGCCAAGAATTCAAAACTACAATCTCCAGTACAAGTAGAAGGAATCTGGTTGACACTGACAGTTACTTGAGGAGTCTCATCTCGAGTTCTCAGATAATCACCAGGAATTGGAAACAGGTATAATCCACCATCACTCAATGTTTCTGTCACAGTTTCTACATCCAAGCCAGTTAAACCACTGTTGTCAACCTACAAATTAAAGTATGGTGTATTGTATTACTGCATCTATCATGAGTTCATATACAAGTCAACTTTCAATATCTGTTTCAGAAATTTACCATACACAATGTTAAAAGCCATTCTTCTAGCACTGGTGAGAAGAAAGCTGACAACAGGAGTCAAACCAACAAAATCAAATAACTTACACTCATAGGAGGATGATTTCCACCAGCCTTGACGAATTCTATAGTCCAAGTGTAGCCAGCACATGTATCAGTTCTTACCACAGACACACCAATGTCAAAACTGTTGTCAAATATTTCTTGCATATCACTTTCTGTAGCATCAGCTGGGACTGCAATATCAATTACAAAACATGAATGTTATTTATGCATTTTTTATACAAAATATCAACTATGTTATATTTTACCTGCTACAACATTTTATAAGTGTTTACACTGTTTCTGTAGCTTTTAAGTCAGCTGCTGACATTTTTATTATGCAAGATAGTTTTAGGTGTGTACCTAAAAATCAGACAGCTATTTTGAAACAAATATGAACACAGATCTGTACATAACGATAAACCTTGTAGAAAAACAACTAAAAAATAACATCCAATTTTCAATTGATTTTTCTTAGATGAAAATAACAATTACCGTACTCAACATACCTACTGCTCTTTTGCCATCAAGTTCAATCTGGAATGTACCACCAACTGGCGGTGTTGCAGACTGCTCCCTATTAATGACAATATCAGCACCATCACCGCAAGCAGCACTGGTACAGTACTCAACATAGTCACTATCAGCATCTCTACTCCCAGAGATAATACCAACATCTCTTATCCCAAATAATGGAAAATCAAATCCACATTTTTCTGGGAACATAACAATGTCAAAAGCATTGTTGATTTTTTCGACGTTAACATTTGAGACAAATATTCCATTCGGTTTTGCAGCAGGTGATGTGATAAGGTCTGAATAAGAAAACATATTTTTTGAAAAATTATTGAAGGTAATAATTTACATACAAGACATGCAAAGTAATCACCAATTACACACAAAATGATGAAGGTTCATCCTAAAAATACCACTCATCTTGTCGAATACTTGTCTGTTACACTACATAATTTGTACTTTAAAGTTAGTTGAATTTACAGAATATGTAAACATAAAACTACAGTTATGAAAGTAGCATATGGAAGTGACTTGAAACTTGGGATAAAAGAAAATACCAGTTGACACTGAATACCCAATTGTAACTTATTGAATGTATTAATTTTTCCCACCAAAGTTTTTGTACCACATTTTGCAAAATTTTATGTGTTTTTCTGTGATTTCTTTGTTAATTTTTGACCAAATTAACATACATTCCTACTGATTATGCAGGTCCTAATTTTGGAAAAAAATGTAGGCAAGTTCGATTTTCTGAAAGGCAATCAAAGCGGAGTGTAGTATTCAGATGGTTAAACCAAAAAATGTATACTACAATATAGTAGCTGCTACTCTCATTCATGTATATTTTGATGTAATACCCCATGGATAATAATTATGGCCAAATATTTTTTCCTAATCATAAATTAATACTCACAGCTTACACGACCAGAACCAATGAATATGTTGTCAACATAGAAATCTTCTTCGTATTCTCCTTTTAAAGTTATAGACAAAATATAAAAGGCGACTTCCCTTGGGAGTTTAGAACCGGCTTGCAATATATCTTCTAAATCAACACAAGTATGAAACCACTGACTAGAAGTAAAAGCATTTTATATTAAACAAACATAAATGTAGTTTATATATTCACAGGTTAATTAATCCCTGATCAGCTTACATGAGGAATGCCACTACAAATATAAATTATTATCTTGTATAAAGAAGAGTAATAATTTTAATAAAACCACAAATCAATATACCAGTACAACACACTGTTATCTTAAAACCCTCCATAAAACATAACAATATAACATGAAACTAAATTATTTTATGAAAATGTACTATAATTATGCCACTACAAATATAAATTACATGTATTATCTTGTATAAAGAAGAGTAATAATTTTAATAAAACCACAAATCAATATACCAGTACAACACACTGTTATCTTAAAACCCTCCATAAAACATAACAATATAACATGAAACTAAATTATTTTATGAAAATGTACTATAATTATTACAAGACATGACATGACAAAATGCCTGTTGGTTCAATAGTAAACAAAACAGAAATGAATCAGAACTTCAAACAAATTCATGATAGTGTAAAGTCATTCAGTTCTATAACAGCATTCTTTAATACAAAATTTCTGTTATTCGTCCATTTTTTACCCTGATTCGAAAAACATAATAGTTTTATTGGACAATGTATCCCAAGATGTATGTGTGAAGTTTGAATGTGATCGGACCAGGGATGAACACACAGAGATCAATCCGTAAGCTCCCATTGCCAGGTGAAGACTAAAAATGATTCTACTTCAACAAGTACTTACTCTGCATCAGAAGGCACAACAAAATCATCGCCAAAATAATACCATCCATCACGCTTTTTACGTTTTGAATACCTATCGGTCCATGTCAACTTTAGTTTGAAGTGTGGGTTGATAGCCCCTCTGTAAGCAAAACAGAACTGGAAGAAAAAAGCATTACTACATTTATATATGCACTCATAAGTAGGTACCACAGAATTATGCATCACATTTCATTATGACAATGTTTCTGACATTGCTCTCATAAATTCTGAAAAGTATGAATGGCGATTATATTGGAAATAGTACTTGGAAATATTGTAACAAAGACTAGATACAGGAACTTATTCTGCTTCACAATGATGCTATGTGGGTGTTCTCACCAAACTTCTAAGTGTTACAAAAACTGTTATTTGTACTCCAATTCTATTATTCACTGAAATCCAAGCAAGCACAATTGACTTACAGTGTTATACACTGAAACAGGAAATCCATCTTCATCAGGAGCTACATATACATCGGTTGGATTCTTCAAAGAGGTCTGTCCACAAAATGGTTCTTCGTCTTGAACTCTCTCACCAGTTTCATGTAGGCCAACATCATTTTCAAAATCATCTAGGAACCAAGTTGGAGCTCTCTGGGTTTCTAGACATTGTACACTGAACATTTTGAGTAGGGCACTTTGCATCTAGAAAAATTATGTGAATAAATTACAAACAGATTAAAGTAAAGTAAAGAAATGATCAACTCAACTCTGCAAGTCAAGAAGCCACCTCCCTTAGATCTGGAGTCATTCAGATTTTCGAAATTCATGTACTACCAAGTACTGTTGATAGTGGGATAGGATAAAGAGTTGAGATAAGGCTAGAATGTATACATTCCATTACTCAAAGATATTCAGGACAATCCTATTAAATATAGGTATCATATTAGTGATTTAGTAGACAATAATATACAAACAAGCTTTACAAAATTTACATTGGTGAACATCAGTAAAAACATGGTCTCTGAAAATACTGAAAATTTGTCTTTTGTCTGTCACACCAGTCCTCAAAAATTGACACCCAGTAAAATAAAACACGTACAAAATAATATTCGTTTCGGAAGTTGAGTGTAACGAATGATAATAAGATACTAAGAACATATATAAAGACTAATACATATTTGTAATCATATTTGCTCTTACATAATCTGAAACATAATGACTTGTTTCAGAATAAGCAGTAAGTTACTGGTATTTATTAGAAATAGAGAAAGGTAGATATTGGCTACCCAAAACACCCTTAGAATAGCAATAACTGACATTTTTACTTTTGTATTATATACATGTATTATATTTTATCATTAATTAACATTTTATTGCTGTCAACCAATAGAAACTATTTCTAAGGATGTAATAAATTTATTATTAATTTACATAAAAAGCACTACCCGGTATGTTTTTAATTCATAACTGACTCAAAGCCACCCTGGCATCTTACACAAACACAATCAGACAGTCTTCCCATAGTAGTGTTGTGTTTACAGTAAAGGATGATGTGTTTCAGCAGCAACCACTTGGCCAGGAAAAAAGCTGTACTTGTATCATTTGAAGTTGGAAATTTGTTAATTCTTTTTTTATTGACATGGCTCATGAGAGGTGGTGGATACAACTAACACAACAAAAGCAAACCATTTTGATTGAAAAGGGAGGCATTTTCATTATCGATTAATTAATTAATTAGGCTCAAACTTTTTCTATTTTATCAAAAAGAACTGTCCAAGGAACACATTTTTTTGGCCTGTAAGTTAAAATGAGATTTTTTTTTTGGCCTTACAAAAAAAATTAAAAAGAATTGGTATGCTTAATATTTGGGCCTATGTCTTTGATTTTAAGCATCAAGCATGATGTCACAGGAAATCTGCTGACTTGCGTTACTGAGATCCATGGAATATCACAGGAAATCTGCTGACCTGCATTACTGAGATCCATGTAATATCACAGGAAATCTGCTGACCAATGTTACTGAAAGTCATGAAATACCACAGGAAATCTGATGACCTGTGCTACTGAGAGCCATGAAATACCACAGGGAATCTGCTGACCTGTGTTACTGAGAGCCATGAAATACCACAGGAAATCTGATGACCAGTGTTACTGAGAGCCATAGAATACCACAGGAAATCTGCTGACCAGTGTTACTGAGAGCCATGAAATACCACAGGAAATCTGATGACCAGTGTTACTTACCTCGGCAGCCTCAGATAATATTGACAGAGGATCTGAATTAATCCCGTCATACACAAATTGAAACACATCTTCCGTGAAGAGTGTGACACTCTGGAATGGAAAAAATAAAAATGATATTTGAAATACATTCTATGTACATTGATTATTGTTAAGGGTTAAATTAATGAACAATTTTAGTAAAGAAAGTATATTATGACTTCCCCAGGCATTATACAACTCACATGATGTGCCTCTAAAAAACACCAGAGAAACTTTATGGTAAAGACCACATTACAAATTATAATGTAATATTTCATCTCTTTCACAGAAGTTTCTCACCAAAATTAATAAAGTGCACATATTTTCAGTAAAAAATAATTATTTAATAGTCTAATATTATTATCATAATATGTCCCTACACTCACCTGTATCTCTGGTTTTGTCACAGATGTTATTTGTATTTTCTGAAATTCATTCACAGCAGATTCAATCTGGCTATGTACAAATGGAGTATCATCAACCAAGACCCCTATCTTCACAGAGCCTTCACCAGAGTATTCCCTATGCAATGCTTCAATATAATACTTAGTGCCACCAGTAAGGGAGAATAATTCAGATTTCTGTTCATCAAAACTAAACCAATCTGATGTAGGTGAGGAACAGGAGGCAATCAGTTGCTGTAAAGAAAAATATAAATCAGAAACAACAGAACAGCAGGTGGTTTGTCAATTCAGTGAAACAAGCAACATTGAAAATAGAGCAAATATATTTGGGAACACAATGCAATGACCAAAGCAACAAAAAGAAATCCATGAATCTAGTACACCAATTCTCAAAAATTTGAAAAAAATACCTGATTGTCCAGTGGGACAACTATAAAAGCCTGGTTGTTCACAGGAAAATGTAATTGTACAATAATTTTTATTGATTTAAACAAATATTACAACTGCACTGAAATTAAAAAAAAATGATTGTCCCAATGGGCAATCGGTTTCAAGATTTGTTTGTACCATGCCAAAAAGGGTTGCCGGGACAATCAGACAATTTCGAACCTTGTACATGCACTAGTAAACATGACCAGCGACAGATTTATTATCACTTTTTTAATAATTTTGCCATTCACCAAACAGCGCTTTGCCTTATTGCATGATTTAAATTGAAAAGGAAATTTATTGATATGTATTGATATTCAGCATGTCCAACACTTAAGGTTGTTTGAAAAAATGCATTTTATGAGTAGTTTACAATTTGTTCCTATGGCAGAAACATTCCATCATATCCCAAAATGTTGTTCCGTGACCCATGCTGACAAATGATATGTAGTGTTATGAGGGCTACATATGACTGTCACGAAAAATGGGAGAATTCTGAATTATAGACTAAGTACAAGTTATCCATGGAATAGTGTGTTTATAATCCAGGCCCAGCATGGCAGAAATGCTTCATTTTGATGCATCTTTAATATTAAAATGGCTACCATTTGGCCATCTTGATTTATAATTTAAATATGGAGTTTGAAAAACAGAACGGCCATTGGTGAGCTATTTTGAATCCAATCTGAACAACAAGATTGACGTGCATCAAGGTTTTATTATATCCAATTTGTATCTACCAAGTTTGAACAAAATCTACCTATACACAACCAAGATCTGGTTCTAGAATAGTAGAAATAATTGATTTTGATGATCTTTTAACATTAAAAATTAGCCACCTTGAATAAGACCATCTAACAATGAGTGTGCACATGTGTGACAAGATGTATATATAAAGTTTGAACATGATCGGTCAAGGCATGTCAGAAATATGGCTGTAAAACAGCATTTATTAAAACAAATTTGAGAATGGTCGCAAGTATGCCTATTTTGAATCTAATCGGAAAAGAAATGATGTGCATAAAGGTCTAATTATGCTTGATGTATGTATCAATGGCTGAGTGAAATACATCTTTACACGAAATTTTAGGCGTAGAGATGGCTACCATGATCTTGGATCAGATCGTGAATGTAATCAGCCGAAATAGAGAAGGGCGCACACACACAGAGGTCAATTCATAAGTCCTTGTTTTCAGATTGTGTTCGAGCAGGAACTAATTGATCAGATGATCAATTAATTATAGAAGCACAATTAATATTGTGTATCCAACTTCTAATTGAACAAGTAAGTTTACTAAACACTAATGGTGTTTACCTTATCACTCCTATTCTCAGTCTCACTGAAGTAGAGTTGAGCCTCCTCATCGGCTACGATGAAGAATGTAAAGTCACTGTCATAAGGAGCCACAAAATATCCACTCAATCTGGAGACATAATTGTCACCGGCATCAGAACCAGACTCACTGGATCCATCAACAACAATCTCATCAAAGTATCCAGGTGACGATTCATCCAGGGTTGCAATCTCACTAATACTGGTGGTGGAAAGGTAAAACAAATCAATTTGAAGTGTTAATAAAAGATGTCTGGTTTACTCCTATAATGAAAGCCGTGTTTTGCTAATCAATTCAAAACAACTAAATATTGTATATCTTACATGTTGACAGTGGTGCCAGTCCATACCTCCCGGAGTAGTCCTCTATTTCCAGGATATGGTGACTGTGCTGCAGCCTGGGCTCCAGTCACACATGTGATGCTAGTTGTGGTGATGTCATCAATGATACAAGGAACTCCTGAGAACAGGAATGTATCCAATGGTCAGACTCATCAAACTCCCTCATGGCAGTTGACATGCTCATCATTTATCAACTTCTTTATATATTCCCAGGGGAGAAGGGGCCTTTCATGGAAAAGCTATACAGGTATAATGTACCACCCAATCAGATGTCTATTTAACAGTATGACTTCACCTACCTCCTACTAAAACTGTAGAATCAGTATCAAAATGTTTTCCAGTAATTGTCAAATGAGTTCCACCTTCAGTGCTGCCAGTACTTGGATTAACAGAGATGATTTCTATAAACCAGACATTTTATTGGAATGTAATCATGGAATAAAAAATTAAAAAACAATGGTTTATCATTACCCGTATATGTTATTAAGTAGAACTAAAAAAATAGTTTTCACTAGTACTAAGAAATATAAAACTGTTTCTGGTAAAATCAAGAACAATTTGAATTAGGTTGTTTGTAGAGATAAGGTTGCAGATGTACTCACCTGCATGAGTCTGAAACATGTACAGCTTATTTTGTGCACTGACTTTCAACAACTGAGGTAAAGCCAAGGAACGTCCATAACCAGAAACAATCATAGATACATTCTGTGAGCCTGGAATGTAAACATTCATTTTTAATAAGTAGACTCATCCCTTTTTCCCCAGGGTGGAGGACATCACAAAAAGTAGTTGAGTACCTTTGTGATACCAAACATGAGGTACAATTTAAAGATGTACAGGCATAAACAAGTAAACACATTCTTTACAACTCATAAACCTTCAACTTGTCACATGTACCAATGAATTGTGGAAAAAATACACAAGTTGAATAAACGTACTAGGCCTCCGAATAAAAAATATTTCTGGTCTAAAATGGGATGGTAAGGTGACTTTTTTTTGCTAAAATATTTCACAGTACACAAATTTTGCAGGTTTCATCAGACTTATTTATCAGTAGTTTCAATAACATAGTTGAACTCTTGTGACCTTGCCCTTTGTTGTATAATATAATTCCCTTTATCATAGTTTGTTTCAATATGAATATGCATTGTCATAATTAATTTTGACTTAAAACAAGTTTAAGGATTGAAACAGCAGTGGCAAAGCAGTCTATCGAATGTCCTTGATTGATGTAAATATCTTACAAAAACATTGGTGCTTAATTTGTTTAACTATTTTAAGGGACATAATTTCAAATATTTAAGGATAAAAACAAATCTCAGAAAAAAAGTTCTGCATTTAGATGTGAATTGTAAAACATACAAGATAACAGAAAATCTTAGCTGGCTTTTGCCCAAGTATTTTGTATAGGTGTCTGTCAAAAATTAACGATTCACTGAGACAAATATGAACTGCTTTATTATATTCATTGTGTGACTACTGTATTATTTGAAAAGTAAAAAAACGCCCTCAAGGAATACCTATCATGTTGCAAGCTCTGCTCTGTTTGCAAATCAACTCAGATAGTTATAGTGATTGGAATGCATGTAAAGCATATGGCTAATTAGAGTTGACATAGCATATGACAATGGACAGATGTTGAATTGCCAAAGAATGGAAATAGTTCGCTGGTGTCCAGTGAGA